GTGACAAATGCACACTTACGCTTGCATGCGTGTGCAACAAACTCACGGTTCTCACGCAAAACAACACACATCAGTACACAAGCCTGTACTGACTCATACCTGCAAACGTGCTTGTGTGCTGATGCACTATATTAACATTCCATTCCCATACGTACAAACGCACACAAACAAACACAGTGCATTAAATTCAGAGGAAGAAATTGAAATCATTCTGCACTGTCCAAAATGAAGTCGCATCAGTTACACTGTGTCCGCACACTTTATGTGTTTGGTTATGAAGTCTGCCTTTCATCAGAAAGAAAGTCAAGCTGAACTACAATAATTACATTAAAGCACACAAGAATAGGCTCTTGAGTATTTTCTATGATGTTAGGAAATGACAACAGTAGCAACAAATTTTATAGACACAAATTCAACAAAGCTATGTGCTGTTAAACTATAGCGCAATTCAACTATAGTGTAAATAAATGTTAATGTGTTATGAACCAGATGTTTCTTTGTTAAATATGAGATGAGTGTTTTTGTTGTTTTTGGTCAGCAGTGATTTTTACATTAGAACTCTTCCATAAATGCCATTTTTGCCCAGTCTCTTTCTTATTGTTGAATCATGCACTCTGAGCTTAGCTGAGGCAAGTGAGGCCTGCACTTCTTTAAATTATCTTCTGGGCTCTTTTTTAACCTCCTGGATGAGTCGTTGATATATGCACTTGGCGTCATTTTGATAGGCTGGCTTAGAAGGTTCACCACTGTTCCGTATTTTCTTCATTTATGGATAATGGCTCTCACCGTGGTTCACTGGAGTCTTAAAGTCTTAGAGATGGCTTTGTAACTGTTGTGAGACTGATAATAATGAATAATAATAATGGATTGCATTTATATAGCGCTTTTTGGGGCCCTCAAAGCGCTGTACAATTCCACTATTCATTCACTCTCACATTCACACACTGGTGGAGGCAAGCTACAATTGTAGCCACAGCTGCCCTGGGGCAGACTGACAGAAGCAAGGTTGCCATATCGCGCCATCGGCCCCTCTGGCCATCACCAGTAGGCGGTAGGTCGTTGTGCCCAAGTACACAATGACTGGGGCTCAAACCGGCAACCTTCCGGTTACAAGACAAACTACCAACTCTTTGAGCCACAATCGCCCCAATAGATAGATGTCAGTGACTTGGTTTCTCATCTGTTTCTTTAGCTCATGGCACAATGTGTTGCTGTTTGAGATCTTTTATCTTACGTCACTTTGTCAGACAGGTTCTACTTAATCAGGCCTGGGTGTGACCAGTGAAATTGAAGTCAGCTTTCCAAAACTTTGCTTATTCACAGTCAATTTGTGATGTGAAAAAAAAGGGAGGGGGCAATTACTTTTCCACACAGAGCCAGATGGGTTTAGATATGTTTTCTCCTTAATAAATAAAATTATCATTTCATTCAGAATTTTGTGATTACTCTGGTTATCTCTGTCTAATATGAACATTTGTTTGATGATTTAAAACTAGTCTGTGTGACAAGTAAGCAAAAAACTAAGAAATCAACAAGGTGGCAAACACTTTGTTCGTGGGTCTGTATAACAACAGAAAATAAATAAAAGGACCCTTCAGAAAACCTTTGACTCTGCTTGCAATGTAGCAGTTTGACTTGCAACGGATTCTTTTTAAACTGTTAGCAGTCGGACGTACCGCCCACGGGACATTGGATGGTTTAGGGGACTAATAGGACTGCTAACTTTTTTTCATTGTAAGAAATCTGAAAACGTCTTTCGTGATAACAGCTGCAAGGACGAGTACACAATCTGTCGTCCTGATTGGTACATGGCGCCATCTAGTGGTTGCAGATGTTCACAAATGGAACTATCATTTATAACCTGTTCCCATCGTAGATTCCTTTAGCTGTAATGTTTATTATTTATATGCTGATATTTTATTTATTTATTTGTTTATTTGTTTATTTGTCTTTTGGTGAGCATAAAGGACTGCTAAATTTTGCAGGAAACTCAATGACTTGTCAGACAAATATGATAAATACAACTTTAACTTTTAAAGCCTTATTGTATCATAGAGTTTTACTGCAGCGGATATTAGTTTTTCTGTTAGCAGGATATTTATCTGTCCCAGAGAACAGCCTTCTTTCTACCACACCCCCTTCCATCACCACCACCTTACATACATATATAACAACACCCCTTCTTCCGAGCAGACCTCGTTGCCTAGCAACGCCCTGCCGAGTGGCCCAGGAGGCGGGAACAAGGGCCGTGGCTTCCGCAGTAATTACAGTGCATGTGCATGTATGTTTCTAGGCCAGCCCAGGTGTGTTTTCCTGTGAACATAGTTTCATTATGAAAATATGTTTAGACTGCAGCGTTCCCCCAAACACACACACACACACACACAAACACACACACACACACACACAAACAGAATAAAAACCTTTGAAAAGGGGAAACGAAACCACATAAGCATAAAGTGTATGAGCATGTTACAAGAATAAAGTTCTCAAAATTTCTGTAGGTCTCTAAGTGTGAAAAGTCTCGTTCATGAGATATGTCTCAGCATTATGATACTCAAATGTGAAAGGCCATGTTAAGAATGTCTATGAGACACACAGGGACTAAATTAGGCTTTATCACATGCAAGCTACGTGCATGGACAAGGATGAAAGACTTGCTCCAGTGAAAATTGTGTTTTTAACAGCATTAACGTGTGAAAGCCACAAGGAAACTAAGCAGCTGATATTACAGCTGAACAGTTCCTCCTGAGGACTGCAGCATGGTAGACAGTCTCAGATACGTTGGTTTATACCATCAGGGTTTCAAAGTTAGGGAAGCAGTAACCTCTTAGTGGCTGTGTGTGAGCAATGAGGAACAAAGCTGAAGGCTTATGATATCTTTTACCATTTAATATTTTAAAATGAGATATATTGAACACATTCTGACACATAAAGCAACTGGCAAACTTTTGCTGAGAATTCAGCTGTGCTAATAAACAGCTGTTTCCTTCAGGTCATTTTGTTTTATGCTAGCCAAAGTTAACAACCCCTTTAATGTCCCATTGGATCATTCATGCACCCTGCTAAACAGGCTACCCAGCTGGTGATAAACTTATTTTATAACTAAGATGGCGACAGACAAAAAGCCAAGCACGATGCTTAATCCTACTGTACATTTGTTATTTTTTCACTTTTCTCTTCTTTCTCAACAATGACTTCTGATTGTTACATATATTGCAATAGTTTTCAGAGTTTGAGCAGGTTTGTTTAACTTACAGGCACACAGCAGATAGGTGAAGACACATGAGACACTTATTTACACATTTAGAGGTCTGTGCATACTAAGATGATGCAAAGGTTTAGGGCTACCTATGCACTGTTTCCTCATTTAGGCACATGAAGGCATAAAAGGATCATGTTCAGGGAACATGAACAACTTATTAACACGTCAATTAGACTAAAAGAGATGAGTTGTCGCATTTTTAATTAATACTAGATTTGGAACTTCTATACCATCCTGTCTGAGTGTTTATGATGTTATGTTGGGGTGAGACACTGAGACAACTGCATTGCCTTGGCTGCCAGTCTATAAGCATAAATATTTCCCCTGTGAGCCAGAGCCATAACCTCAGTTGGCCTCTTGCTAATGATGTTTTCTGCTTGGAGAACCAGGGCTGTGACTGGCTAAAGCCACGGAGAAACCAATACAGGCCTAAAGGCCCTCATACAGGCCTTCTGCTTCATCACAAACCTCTACTTCTCAGATGCATTAAAAACGCACTGTTTAGAAGTCTGAAAGAGGTTTTGTCACTAGAATGACAGACATGACTTCTGTTTCTATTTAGACACTTAAGTACAGCTGTTGTTCCTCGGCCTGAAACCACCCCAGATGCATTTACAGAACAGTAGTAACAGTGTCACTTTATGGGCTAAAGTTATCATGCCAGGCTGATTCTTATTTCGTGGACAGCTCCTGAATGCTTAAACAGATGGACTGCTTATGTATTATTGGTCTAAACAGAAAACAGTGTGTATTGTAGCTGGATTATATAAGCAACCAGCTTCTAGAAAGTCACTTAATGAACAAATAAATAATTACTATATTTACTGTGATTTAGTAGATGATCTTTTTTAAATGCATCAGTTATTCAGATTCTTAGCATTTTTTTAAACATCTGTGGTTTATGGCAGTCTGGGATGTTAGACTGTTTACCAAATCCATCAAGGTACCCAAGCTGAAGTCACATATAGCACTTTTCTACTCTCCTAGAGCACCCAAAGCGCTTTATACAACATGCCACATTCACACTCAGTTCACACAAGCACTTTTTTCTATGCTTTTAAGTGCTTCCTACCTAAAATTCACACACATACTCCGATGGATTGGAGAGCAACTCGGGGTTAGTATCCAAGTAGTCTCTCTCCATGATAAAACTTTCATAACAATTAGAGACAGTTTATTTCTTTGCAACTAAATTCAAATACAAGTTGTTCAAAAGGATCAAATAATTGTTTCCCCCACTGTAAAAATTACTGTTGATTGGCAGAATGAAGCTATAATGCATATCCCAAAAGTTCAATTTGTCTGAAGAACCTTTTTTGTTGAACTAGCCAATCAGAACCCACATATTCAATTCACAATTGCATAACAACACAAACACACACACACACACACACACACACACACAAATCTTGTACTAGTGTGAATTTCCTAAAGCCTCTGGCAATGCAATGATGTAATTTTCTACTACATAGGATCTAAAGTTGACAACAAGGGGGGAAATAGATGAGGTAAATAAATAGACGTACATCCGCTTAGAAGCAACACTGTCGCATTTTCACCTTTTAAATGATTTCAAAATAATTAAATCGTTTGTTTCCCTGATTATTTTAATTTTTTAACCGTTACTGACATTCTGAAACTGACACGCGTGCACAAAACACACGGGCGCGCGCACACACCTCCTTTCCCGTTTGCCCAACCCCCACAACACAGAAGTCACCGCCCTTCCTTCTCGCTCTCACACCAACATGACTACCGACACCGCCGCTCCAAACCCAACCGACAAGCCGGAGCATCACGGAAGTTGTAGTCCCGCTCGCGCTAGCCAGTTCGAGAAGGCGAGGCCTCACCAAAATACAACTCCCATCTCGACCCTCGCACGCCGAGCCCCGTCGTCCAATCTGAATATGTGGGAGGAGCGCATCCGCCCACAAAAGCCACAGCTATCTCCCTGTATCCCCCCCTTTAAAAAATCAATTGTGCACGAAAAAAAGGGGAACACGCTTAAAATACCAACACAGGTGACGGTTTGTTTTCGGCGCGCGACGGACAGCGACGAGGCGTCCCCGCGTCGTGCGGCGTGAGAAACAGCGGTGACAGGCAGGAGCTGCGAGGAGGGTGTTGTCCTGATGCTTAAATGGAAGTGGGTGGGCCTCTACGGTCACACACTGCCAACTTCTCTGTGGATATCACTCTGACAACCGCCAATTTGTTCGTTTATGGACTGTCTATCCGGTAAAGGAGTCATACGACGGATCTGTGAGGTGTCCGGCGGACCGGGGACGGTCACCGCTCTCTCTGTTATTTCCGTTATTTGGGGCTGTTTGATTGTTCCTGCGCTTGGCACCGCCCTTCCTGGCCGGTGGGTGGTTTCGTCAAACGGGCAGATCCGCCACGGCTCAGAGCCGAACATATAGGCCGTCCTCCGCCTGTGTACCCGGCCGGCCTTCTACCGTGAACTACACCCTCTCCCTCTCGGTATATTAATGCGTTATGAGTGGTAGGTACCCTCCCCCTCCCCGTCTCCACCCCTCTTTCCCTCTTTATAGCCGTTTGACAGATAGGAAGCTCAATGCCCCTTTGATATTGATGATAAGGTTACTGGTTTCTCTTCTGTCTATATTGATCACCTCTGTGATGCCATATATGCTATTTTTTTGCTTGGATTTTATTTGCAGCATGCAGTGCCCCGTATACTGCTCGGGACTTTGTAGTACTCAGTAATCCCTATGTGATAATATTGTAATTGAAAATATTCTAACATTTCTGCCTCTTCCTCACAGACTCGAAGAAGGAATCATCTGGAACTGAAGGAGGGAAAGCATCTAAAAGGGGGAAAAGTTCTGGATCACAGGTAAAAGCAAGGAGACAGGAGTTTATTATAGTTCGTTACTTTTCCCTTGCCTGTAGGCCAAAAATGTACTCCCTCCCTCCCAGCCTAGCCAGCCAGACACCTCTGGGGGCGTTTCTCTGGTGAATTCCACTTCCTGCTTCTGTGCAGCCCTACAGTGAGCCAACCCAGAGCCTCATGAATAGGCTTACACGGCTGTCACACTTCAGCCGCTATACTTTTTGAACTGTCTGTTTGAATTATGGTCAGAATGATTTAATTCTGCACGTGGATATTATTGAAAGACCTGCAGCTTTGGTTAAGTGGCCCCAAGACTGTGAAACTTCTCTCTGCAGCAGGTTGTATACATATATATCTTTGAGATTATTTTTGAGCCAGGCAGCTGTTCTTGAGCGCATCTTATTGTCATTAAATGTGCATGACGAGCATTGCTGCTGTGTTAATTTTCCTGCTGTTGTAGTTGTTACAAAATCTAGGCTGTTTCCCCGTGCACTGTTGTGAGGTGTTGAGCATTAAAAATTTGCCTGCGACCTAGTTCCTTTGAAAAGGGAGGAGAGAGAAGGCGGCATTTTCTTCCAGTGTTCTCAGAAAACAGAAATGTGGTTCTCACACGCCCACCCACTCGCTTCCTGTAATACCGCCCACTTCCACTGACAGCTCTCTCTCTCGCTTTCACTCAGCTTTTTGTGTTTCTTTTTTCTGCACCATGTTATTTCCCACCCCTCGCTCTTTTTCTCTTATTCATTTAAAATTAATCATTGCGTGAGCGTGTGCAATGATACCTGCTATCATCCCCAGCCTTAAGCGTTTTTATCTTTGCACATGTACTCTTCGGCTTTGTTTGTGTATGCGTACAAGCTGTTAATGTATGTTTCTAACCCTGACTCCCTTCTTGTCCTTCCTTCACCTGTCACTCCTGTTTTCCCTATCACCCTTCTCACCCCTCCCATCCATCCATCCATTACTCCTCCATCCCCTTTCCTCCACCGTCTCCTCTAGGATTCCTCTCAGCCCTCTCCATTGGCTCTGCTAGCAGCCACCTGCAGTAAGATCGGAGGGCAGGGGGGAGCAGAGGGGGCACAGGGCCAAGCAGGGGCCCAGCAGATCCAGGTCCAGGCTGGTCAGATCCAGTTGCAGGCGGGACAGATCCAGGGTCAAATAGTGGTGGACACAGCTGGGGGTCAGGCCTTAGTGCCCCAGCAGCTAGAACTGGTCCCGGCACAGTTCACAGGGAACGGCTGGCAGATCATTACAGCAGCGCCTACTATGGCCAAGGAGAACACCAGTCAACCTGTTGCTGTGACCGTGGCCACCACCTTGACTAATGACAGCTCACCTGGTGGACGTAAGGTGAGGGGAGTGGTGTGTTTGTGCAAATGTTTTTATCAATTTTTAATCCTTGTCCACATAACTGATTTACTGCTCCTTTCCTGTTGGGCAGGTAAAGGCAGTAGGTGGGACCAACAGTGTCGCAGCCAATCAGCAGCAGCAATTTCAGATCATCCAGGTTCAGAACCTGCCCAATGCCGGAGCAGGAGTCCAGTATCAGGTCATCCCGCACTTGCAGACTGCAGATGGACAGCAGATCCACATCAGCCCTCAAACAGCGTCCATCGGGGCCGTTCCCGAGCAGGTTCAGCTCATCCAGACTCCGAGTTCGGGCCAGACCCAAGCTATCATTCAACCCACCAACCAGCAGGCCATCCTGACGAGTACAGCCAATCAGACGGTTCCACTGCAGATCCGTCCTGCGCAGTCATTCCCACTTCAGCTGCAGACTCTGCAAGGCTCCCAAACTCCTGTCATGACCACAGTACCTATAAACCTTGGTGGCATGACCCTGGCTTTGCCTGTGATCAATAATGTCGGAGGGGGTGGAGCTGTGCAGCTTATCCAATCAGCAGATGGCACATTCTCTGTTGCTAATGGCAACCAGCTGGTGACAACAGCTGTGTCAGGGGTGGCTCCTACCACAGCTGCAGCTGGATCAACAATGGCAGTAGCTGAAGGCGACAGCGTGCCTGATGGGGCTCAAGTGGTGTCAGCTGGATCAGAGGGTGGATCAGCTGACGCCCAAGTGCAGAGCAGCGAGGCAGACTCTCAAAGCCAGAATCAGACCAATGGGCTACAGAACCAGACAGACACACCTGGAGCCATTCAGCAGGTGATTGTGGGCCAGGTGGGGCACCAGTTGGTGCAGCAGATCCAGCTGCAGCCCCAGCCTCAGAGTCAGGGTCAGGCACAGGGCCAACAGCAACCTCAGCACATTCAGACCCTGCAGCTGGCTCCAGGACAGACCTTGCAGCCCATCCAGGCCTTCCCGAACTCTGCCCAGGTCCTTATTCGTACCCCAACCCTATCACCCTCTGGGCAGCTCACCTGGCAAACGCTGCAGCTACCCGGTGGAGTCTCCCTGCAGGGTGGTCTCGGGACAGCTGTGCCACAGCAGCTGACGCTGGCTCCGGTAGCTGGTGGGACTGCAGTTGGAAGTGGGGGACTAGTCTCTCTTAGTGGAGCTCCCTTGACGCTAAGTGCAGCCCAGATAAACCCTGGGTCAGGGGTGCAGACGGTCAGCATTGCAGGACTGAGCACAGCTGGGGTCCAGGTGCAGGGCGTACCACTCACTATTACTGGTCTACAGGGTAAGGGCATTATGAGAGTAACTGTCTAAATGCGTATTCAGCACCAATCTGCTCACTTTCATAAACCGTGAATGCAATGGGGTTGTGGAGACAGAGAGTCTTTATTTCTTGAGAAAATATCATATTAGTCCAGTGCGCTAATCCCTCATATCATGACAAACTAATCTATAAAGCTTGAATTAAAGGATGTCCTGCTCTCCTGCTTGCTCAGTTAGACTGTGTGTATGACACATAGTCTGTAATAAAAGTGCATGTTGCCTCTCTGTCTTTAAAGTGAAGACCAAGTCATTGAACTACATTCTTTCTAGTGATCAGCAGAGGGTGACTCTCTTGGTATCAGTTTGTAGAAAAGTCTATGAAAAATGATACTACATCTCACTTGTTTTAATACCTCAGCAATTATTTTCCTAAAGAGTTAAAGGCTTTAAGTGTTAGTTTCAAGTCTTCTTGAGTGAAATTCATATGCTCATTTAGTACATTTAGAATAGAACAGACAATGCAGCATATGCTTTAGGCCTAAAGTTTCAAAGCAGATCACCTCAAACCAATGGGAGATATAATGGTGGCTCCATATTGTATGTACAGCCTGTAGTCAAAGGTGTTCTTGTTTTTTAACTTTCTCTGTTGTAATATAGAAACTGTTCTTGTTTTTGATCATGTGTTTACACACTTTCAATCATCCTCCAGGTCAACCACAGGGTCAAGATGGGGTCAAAGTTCAGTCGTCTCCAGTGACTGTCACTGTGGGCAATGTTGCATCAGGCTCGTCAATGAGTCCAGACCAGCTGAGCTCTGTGCAAAGTTCTTCAGACCAGGAGGGACCGCCCAGCAAGAGGCTTCGACGTGTTGCCTGCTCTTGTCCAAACTGCAGGGATGGAGAGGGAAGGTATGCAAAGCATGCATAAGATACTCATGATTATTTCTAGTCTTTGAAGGGACTTTGAAGGCTCAGAAGTTATAGTGAATCCAAACTATACAATCTCAAAGGAAGCAGTTTTTTGTTTTTGGACTTAAAAGTCTTTCCGTAGTGGATTTTTTTTTCATCACCTCACAGCAGTTTTCTCTCTGTACTGATTACTACTAACAAATTAACAAAACTGACAAGACTGACACAGTTCATTCTCCATAAATCCATAAATAACATGTTCTCAATTTTGAGAACATTGAGAAAAAAAAATTATTGTTTCCAGAATTTTCAATATCATGCACCAACAGTGGTTTAAAAAAAGATGCAATTGAATTTTAATTGCTTTTGAATAAAAGATTAGGATTCCTAAGCTGAAATTTTACATACTCATATATTGGTTACCATGTCCATATGATGTTTTAAAAAAAATATATGTATATATGCTAATGAGACATAAAGTTTACTTCCTGATTCATAAAAAAATTGTACCTTGTTCTGCTACGCTGCTTAACATACACAGACGCGTTGGCAGTTGGGCCCAGCGCTCGTGAGATAACTTCTGAGGCTTGCAAATGCAGAGGAGAAGTGGGGGTGGGGTGCAGGCAAACGACTGAAAGAGAAGGCGGGGTCCAACTTGACAATTCATGCATCTGCACATACTAAATGAGACAAAAGCACAAAACTATATCTAAAACTGTTTTCACACATGAAGCACTGAAAATGTCATGAGAATTGGCTTCTTAAACACAACACGCAGCAACAGGAGGAGTGCATGACAGCCATATTCTCACTACAGGAAATGCTCTATTTGATTTAGAGGAGGGACTTTGCCTGAGAACGTTTGTTTTCCTGCATGCGTTTCTTTCAGGTAATGCTAAAGCTTTAGGGTTACAGAGTATATGGGGGGGGGGGGGGGGATAAGCAAAAGGCTTTGTAATATAAAAATTATGGAATTACAAATATAAACATGTAATTATTATAGGAGTATTTTGAGTTTGATCTGTAGCACACACACACAAACCTCCTGGTCCTCACTCATAACAGAAGTTTGTGTTGTAGGAACAGCGGGGATCCCACAAAGAAAAAGCAGCACATCTGCCACATGGAGGGCTGCGGGAAGGTCTATGGAAAGACATCCCACCTACGGGCCCACCTGCGCTGGCACACCGGTGAGAGGCCGTTTGTCTGTAACTGGATCTTCTGTGGCAAGAGGTTCACCCGGAGCGACGAGCTGCAGAGACACCGGAGAACACACACAGGTGGGAGAAAGCATAGACACAGACATGCAGGGTGATTTTGAATTGAATTTGAATTCACTGCTGAATGCAAACTAGAGCTGCAATGTTTTAATTTTACCCTCAGTTCTTGAGAAATGTCCAGCAGAAGCCAAAGTGGCACCTTTAAAGGTTTTTGTTTTTTCCCACCACCCAAATAATCTATAGGGCAGAGAAAAGCTGCAAAAATAGGTGGAATCACAATTTTTCTTTACTTTCTTTCTTTTAAAGTCTTCCTTAAAACATTAGTCTGACTTTTTTGTTCTCCACACTGTTGCAGGAGAAAAGCGCTTTGAGTGTCCCGAATGCTCCAAGCGCTTCATGCGCAGCGACCACCTCTCGAAGCACATCAAGACCCACCAGAACAAGAAGAGCAGCGCCGCGGTGGCAATCATCACCACTGACGACATGGAGGAAGACACTCCCGAGGACCTCGGCGCCTCCCCGCAGATTGTCGCCGTAGCAACACTGTCGCGTGACTCTGACCCCGCTACGCCGACCACTTCCAATCACCTGGAGGAAGAGGAGGAGGAAGAGGAGGAGTTTGAGTAGGCGCCTGCCTCCCGTCTCTTTGCTGGAAGGCTGGCTTCCTGTTTTTTTGGAGGTCTTTGCATAGACTGTAAGGGGTTACTTTTCTCTTTTTTTTTCTTCCTTTTTTTTCTAAAATTTGACCTTATTTTGAAAGGGTTCGCTCACGAAGAGACTCTAAAGGGACGGGCAGGGGTCCATGCGATGAAGGGAAACCTGAAAAATATAAACAGTCTAAAACAAAACTAACGCGTATAATAACAAAATAAAGAAATTTAGAGTGTATCAAAGATTAGTTTGGCATTTATAAAAATTTAATCTATTAAGAATTTCAGGTGTGGCGGGGAAGGGATGTACGCAGATTAGCACAAGACAGGAGACCTGCTGAATTTGAAACCACCCGACACTTGAGAGACATTTTCCTAATCACAACAGAACTCTATGCACAAAAGTTGTGTTCCTGCTTCACACCTGTCAGGCAGTGCTGAGGGTCAATCAAGGTACAGAGCTGTTGCAGATCAGTGACAGAACAGGGGCAGTATTGGGAGGGGGGTGGGTGTAAATGTGAGCTGTGTGAATGAGTGTGTACTCCCATGCTGTCCTGCAGAGGATCTACCTAATTTGAGTTTTTATTCATGGTTCAGGTTTAAGTCCTCAGATAAGATTCAGGTGTTTGATTCTTTTGCGATCAGATGACAAATATAGGGGGATAATTCTAAGAAAAGAGAAGAAAAAAGAAGAGTAGGGGAGGAAAAAAAGCACATATAAAAAAAGATTTATAAAATGCATTCCTATTGAGGCGCAGTGGCCATTAGAAAAAAAAAGGGTTTCTATAGAGAAAAACAATCTAGCTTTCTACAACTTTGTTTGTGTAGTGAAAGCAATACTGTAATAATGACAATCCTAGTGAAACCATGTTTACATTGTCAGGGGAAGTTTTCTCTTGTTAATACAACAAGCCAGTTCGCTCTAAGATTAAGGAAGGCAGCGCCGTAGTCCGGATGACCTGGTACCACAGGGTGGCTTTGACATCACGGCTGCACACTTCACGCCGCCACGTGTTTGACAGTTTTACATCAAACAAAACAACACGGCACGGTCGGCGTAACTGTGGTGACAGCGTTGCTTTCTTTTCTTTCTTTTCAAATTTTTTTTGCTTTCTGTGCTCTAATGACCGCCCCTCTAAACCCCCCACCCCGCTACACGACCGATGTACCACAATTGCCTTAACACAAGCTGTCGTACAGAGGGATCTCCGGAGTGAGCCGGACGGAGTCAGAGGGGAGCTCTCCGGACTTGTAAGAGGGTGACGCGGAGTGCAAACCAAAGCACAGGCAGGTATATATATAAGACGGAGCTGTTGGGTGGGAGTCGGTCAGGCCGTTTAGCTACGTGGATATTACGAAATGTTTTCTGGTGGTGTTTCTCTGTGTTAGTTCAGTGCGTATATTCATTTGAAATTAAAAAAAATAATAATAAGATGCTTTTATTTTATAAAATTTATCAATTCTTTTAACTCCCCCACCCCTCCTTAAGTATGTTAACACACAGGACCCCCACTGTGTATGGCTAATTTATTATTTATCCTTGATTTGTAATATTTGCCTTTTTGCTGGACTTGTATTTGTGCGCGTTGACTCTGAGGTTGTGTACAGCATGTTTCAGTTCTTTGCCGTAGTGCTGCTTCTCTCTTCTTTATTCTCTGTGCTTCTGTTTTTTTTTCTTTTTTTGTCTTTCTATGTCTGACCATCGCTGTTCATTTCTTCTTCTGTTTTCTTTTCTCTCTGCGCCATAACGTGTTTTTGGAGAAAAAAAATCAACAAACAAAAGAAGAAGAAAGCAAAAAAACAAAAAAAAAAAGAAAAAGAAAAAAAGGAGAAAAAAAGTTACTATTGTTTAAAGCTGAAAAAGGTTGATACCAAACAAATTTAGATGTTTTTTGGTAATATTTTGTGTGACGACTTCTCTTTTTTTTTTCTTTCTTTGATATTTTGTAGTGACATCTCATTTGTAAATCTTTTTCTAAAGATGTTTGTTCGTCTCCATGACATTTGATAATGGGTTTTTTGGCAGGACAGCCTCAAAGGCTCCAGTTTATTGATATTTTTAAAACTGGTTTGTACAAATGTGTTATGTCAACAAAAAACAAAAAAAAAAGGGAAGAAAAATTACAAGCAGAAAAGATGCTTTGCCTGCATAACACTTGACAATAAAGTGATTCTTAAAGTGAGGCTCACATTTCATCTCTGATGATTCTGAGTGGGGAGTGAGTCACTGCGAATTTATTTTATTTTTACATATGGTGCTCTTTGCACAGACACACAGCTATAACTCGTGCCGCCTCCTTATTACTGGGTATTCTCTCTCAGCTGTGTTTTGACAGCGGTGATGATGAAGTAGCCGCCCTCCCTGTGGGAACAATTTCTGCTCCCGGGTTTCTCTTTGTGCCACTTGTGGCCTTCGGAATGGCGCTGCGAAGATCCGACCTGAGTCGCAGGACAATCGTTTGACACTCAATAAGAAATTTGTCAAACCTGCTTGAATGAATTTCTTCTTGTATATTTCTGGAGGTTTTTCTTAGATGATGGAAACTCCAGAAATAAAAATAATCAACAAAAACAACATCTTAATTGCAACGGCAAGCGCCAAGCCTGTGAGGGTTCACCCACAAGTCACTCTGTCGGGTTTACAAAGCGTGTCACGTAGTTGGCACCTCACGTGTACCTTTGGCGCGTCACTCCTTTGAAGCACTTCAAAAACAGTTCGCAGCTCTTCTCTCTGCACCCTCAGGTGCTTCTGTCAAGTTTTGTAGGTATCAATTATTTTAATCTAATAAGCTATAGAAGTATCAGAACAAAGGCAGACTTTCTTATTCTCCTATCACACACTGAAGCATGAGGGGGGGGATTTTTCTACAATAAAGCCTCTCTGTGGCTCTTCAGTGCTTAAAAATCCCAGTAATGTTAAGTGAGAACCAGGAGACCCACACTGATCATCATGGGTAAGATTAGAGCTTCAAATGATAGCTGTAATAATTTTCTCACTCATGCTGCACAATAATGAGATGCATAGAGAGCCGGTGACCTCAGGATAACCTCTGACCATGCTTTCACATGACACAAGCTGGTAACCAGAGGGACCAGCAGATGACCTGCACCTGACCCCACTCGCCGGGGCTAAATAACACCAGATACACACAAAATAACTGCTTATTCAGGCTTGGCTGGTGCAGCCTGTTAGGTTACTGTGTTGTAGTTTAAACACGTGAGCTTGATTCCCCCCTTACCTCTTGTTGAAGATACTCTGATGTAATACCGACCACTGTGAGAGCTGAAGTCATTTAGCATGTAGCCTGTATATGTATGGCTTTGGCACCATTAGTTTAGCATTTCATGGGGTTTTTCTTTTTCTTTCTGAAATCCTCTAATTGCTGACATTTTTGGGAAGCTTGTTAAATTTAACGGAAATACATCGAATCATTCACCTATGATAAGATAAAGTTCACACAGACGAAGTTTTAAAGTTGTACATGTACAATGATCAAAGAAAATTTGAAATCTCATATTCATTAAATTACTTTAAGAGTGGAATGATGTATTTTAAAAGCCTAAACTCAATCATCTCAAAAAAAACCAACAGAATCTTTGCAAAACGTCTTCTGTGTGTGTGTCTGTGTGTGTGTCTGTGTGTGTGTCAGCAAGTGAGTGACATAAAGAGTAAGGTCTACATTGTACATTACACAATTTTTTGACATTTTTTGTTCCCGACTGTGATACAACTACAACATTTCAATGGAAGCAAGTAGAGGAATCTACAAACCCATCAGGGTATGTGACAGTATTTGTTTTTACTGCATTTCAGTTTAAAGAATTTGATGTAGTTTTAAAAGCTGACAAACTGACGATCAGTTTAAATTACAATGAGTAACTCGTTATTTCTTTGACAGGTTTTGTTCAACACATGCATTTACGACATGGCTGTGAAGACCTGCTGATATCTTCCAGGCTACAGGGCTCAGGTAAGACCCAGATCCCATGCAAACCAAAACGAACATAAAACAGGTAATTTCCGAGGACCTGAGTTTGGTGGTGTTCAAATGTCTCCTTTTATTTCTAGATTGCAATGATGATGGAGTTTCTTAGGCTTCAGAAGGAAAACAAAATCCCATCAAACATGAAGATCTAAGAAATCTTTTGGTGGAGACAAGCAAAGAGACACTCAGATAGCAGTGAGTTAATGCTGTGAGAAAACCTCTCTTTTGTTTTCTTTTGAAGGCTTTGAGAGTTTGAATTAGATGATTTCGATGAAGAAGAAGCCAAACCTCTTCTGAAACTTTTGGAGATTTATTTTTTTCATTATGTTCACATAACCTCTAGAATAAAATGCCCTGTAAATGTGTTTTTCATCTTAGGTTTGGGCCGTGAATGTCATTAACAAAATGAGGGATATAAAGTTTCAAGCGTGGATGCTCCTTAGGCCGTACGTCCTAAATATCAGTGAGATTCTTAATAGTCCAGCTACAGTGTTTCAATATTTCTGTGATTCTTTAAATATGTTTAAAAGATCATTCTTATAACATTACTCTACAGAACACGTAAAGTCCTCAGCATGGTGAGAAATTACATTCAGATCCTGAAAGAGAAGCATCAGGAAGCACAAAGCACCAAACTGCTCACCGCACACGAACTGGTTAGAGGTAGTTCCCTGCGTCCTGCAGGGCTTCTGGGAGCTTCCTCCTCGCCCCCTGTCGAACAGGGCGTCCCAGAATCTGAGCATAATCTCCTTCAGTGTCACAAAGGCCACTTTGGATCATGTCAACAAAACTCTCACAGCGGTGGAAAGCCAGGCAATCTTCTCCTGCTCCATTAGAGATGACATGGTCCACAGCATACTGACAAAAATCAGAGACAAATATCCTCAAGAAATTCTACTCACCAACAGTGCAAACTTTGCGCCAGTGCTGCTCATTTCAATTGCAGATGTAGAAAAGAATGATATATCCAAGATCTTTAAGCCCCCTTCTGAAACTCCACCAATTTCTGATGTTCTTTCCAATGAAGAATGTCCTTCTGAAAGACCCTGCCAAAAAGTCTGAAAGTCGGCCAATGCCTGCTGTTCCCCTCAGTGAAGAACCTCCTTTTGAAAGTTCCCTGTGAGGAACCTCTTTCTAAAACTCCATCCATGTCTCAGTCAGCTGTATCTGTTATCAATATTCCAGAGAAGTCTGAAGACCTTAAAATCAGGAAGACAAAGAAGAAAGAACGGGGCGTCTTCCAAAAACTCAAAGGTCTGTGCTGTTTCAGAGCCAGAGAAACTGACTGACTATGAGACTCCCATCTGTCTGTTCTCACACTACAAAATCAAATCAAATAAAAAAAACTCATCAATATTCCTGCATGAATCTGCATCTATATTTAAAAAATATTTTTCCTTTAGATGTCTATAAGAGTCTCTTAGGGTTCCTCCACAAGTACAGTAAGTAACATAACAGTAGTGTTATTATTTTTAAGAAAACTTATTTTTACTGTTAACATATTAACAACAGTAACTGAAACTGGTATATAAAACCGCAGAATACATTTCCTTAAAAAATGGTTTGATTTATATTTTTATAACTGCTGAATCTTTGGTGAAAAAAATGTTGAATAACAAATACAATGAATGATTCACACGAAAGCCAAAGTGCAGAGCTGTTCAAAGCTGAAGTTCAAGCAGGAAACACCGTAATATTTGCAGAATATCTTCTGTGTGTTAGTATCAGCGAGTGAGTGACATATAGAGAAAGAGGGGAACTGGCATCAAATGTACAGGTAAAATAGTTCTTAATCTTGAACTGTTTTGTGGATTTCACTTTAAGACTCACTGTGTGTTAATTAGGAGATCACCTTTACACACTAAAAGCAGAGACATTAAAATAGGTTAGATGAGTTGAAATGTGGGCGAATCAACT